TCTAGTAAGGTACTGTATTTCCCCATGTATAAGACCTTAATTTTGGGGCCCGAAATTTGAAAAAAAATGTATTACATAAAGTTATTGAACTCATTTTATTCATCATAAAATTCATACAACTCATCACTGTCAAAACTCCCAGCCATTAGCTTGTCATCTGTGTCTGATGACGAATCACTGTCTTCATATATTGCCTCGTCCTCAGTTCCATCTATGGCATTTGAAATCTACAACCACTGTATAAGACGCACCCAGTTTTTAGATCCCAAATTTTTCAAAAAAGGGTGCATCTTATATATGGGGAAATACGGTATATAGATAATGGTGGAGAGGATTTGCATATGTGGGGACAGGCGGTTTATAGGAACTCTCTGTACCTTCCCTTCAATTTTGCTGTGAACCTAAAATTGCTCTAAAAACTATCCCCGTTTCACAGGTAAGAAAATGGAGGTACAGAGATTAAATAACTTGCCCAAGTCTCACTAAGGTCTACTAGCGACAAAGTAGGAGTTGGCAATGAGTCGGTCTGGCACTAGCACCTGTCGTCAATCATGCATTTTCTTCCTTTTCTGAATCTTGTTTCTTTTCCTAACAATGTGCCTTGCAGATCAACCCATAAAAGCCCACATAGAGCTCCGTTTAACCAGTTTTGTACTGATAGGCCTTAAGGTTGCTTCTATGTCTGAGTATGAGTACTGCTACATTAGTCTTACATATCACTCCTCACATGAGAAAGTACCTAAACAATAAACTTCTGTAAGTGGCTTTGCTAGGGTTAACAGATATTGACATTTTAAAATTTGATATTCTGAAAAATTGCTCTCTGTAGAGGTTGTATCAGTGTATACTGTTCTATGAATGTACCTGTTGGATATGGCATAGTAAAGCAGGTGTGGCCACTAGAAGAGATGAGAATGAGGCTTACAGGGAGGTCATTTTTGAGACTCCGGGTCTGAGAGAGATCAGTGCATGCCACACAGGACCACAGGAGAAACACCAGGTTTTGACAGAAGTCAGGAGTGAGGGTAAGTCTAAGCTGAAGCCTTTAATGGAGTTTCCGCTGGGCAGGCCAGACAGGGCAAACAGTTTGGGATTGGCTTGTTTGAATAATTCTGGAGGGCTTTGGGATATAGAAGTGGTCTCTCTACTTGCCTGGTATCCGGCCCTGGATGACTTGATGTGAGTTAGATAAGGAGGTGGTTGGGACCATAAACTTGGGATTGGTTGGTTTGTACATGAAAGCTGTGCTCTGGGCAAGCCCTTTGCTATCTCTAAGACGGGGATAGCCCTGGAAGGGGCAGTTTCTCTCTGGTCAGCAAGATTTTTAAGATGTCAAAACATCATAAAAAGATTAATGCACATACTTTAACTAGCAGTATATAAGATCACCTGTTCTCCCGAACAACAAATTATCTTTGATAATGATTGGTGAAAAATGACTACCAGTTGTAGTTTTAAGTTATTGGTATTTCCTTTTTTAGCTCATTTTTTCTTCTGATGATTTTTCTCATTCATTACCTAAACAAATATTAAGTACTTACAATGTACCATGTATTTATGATGAGTGAACAAAATAGACAAAGGCCTTGCCCTCAGGGCTCTTACATTTCAAGAAATGTGTAGGGCCTCATAGGGAGAAAACTACAAAACTTGAGAGAGACATAAAATAACTGACTAAATGAAAAGAATTTTGACAGATTGTCAGTAGGTATGGTACAAAATTAAGAGTTTTTGTGGGGGAAGACAGAAGTGGCAACTTGACAGAATGTAACTTGAAATAATGGATGTGAACATTTTGAAACGGAAAGGCAGTATAAGGATATCTGCTTTACCAGATGTTAAAATGTACTAAAAAACACAATAATGAAGTGTGGTGCTGGCACAGTAACAGACAACCAGAAACAAACTCTATATATGATATGCCCGTATGTGAATTCTACATATAATATGCCCGTATGGGATTGGCTGGTTTGAATAATTCTGGAAAGCTTTGGGCTATAGAAGCAGTCTCTCTAGTTGCTATAGCATTTTAATTATTATAGTTTAATACTTAAAAATCAGGGTTGTTTTCCCTGCTAGTTTTCAGAACTTATAAAAACTGCATTAAAAAACAAAATCACTTTTCACTATTTGGATCACGCTTCTTTGAATGTGATTTCATCCAGAGAATGGACCTCATGGATCTGGGTGTCATAATGGGAATTCACCCAGTGTTCACATGCTTGGGAAAAAAAAACCCCACAGTGCTCATGGAGGAGGGGTCAGAGATTATTGGGACTTTTAAATTTTAACTTATTTCTCTATTTGGTTTTTATATTTATAATAAAAATGTAACTTAAAATCTCCCACGTATACATATATACGAGGTGTGACTGAAAAATATGGTGAATGTTTAAATTAAAAAAAATATATTACAGTAAAAGACACATTGCCATTAATCCCCCTCAAAATACTCCCCCTTGATTCAAACACACTTATCCCATCATTCTTGCCACTTTTTGAAGCAGTTCTGGAAGTCCTCTTTCGTGAGTGTCTTTACTTCATCCTCCATCATGACAATGCTCCCTGTCCCACTTTGCTACAGTACAGCAATTTCTGTCAAATAAAAACATTATGGTGTGTCCTCATCCACCTTATTCACCAGATCTGGCACCATGAGACTTCTGGCTCTCCCCCAAAGTCAAAATGATTCAGGACATTGAAGCAGCCACGACAGCGCAATTCAAGACACTCACAAAAGAGGACTTCCAGAACTGCTTCAGAAAGAACAAAGGGAATAAGTGTCCAAGTGAAGGGGGGGGGGTATTTTGAGGGGAATTAATGGCAATGTGTCTTTTACTGTAAGAAATTTTTAAATTTAAACATTCACTGTATTTTTCAATCATACCTCATACAAAATATATATAAAATAATATAATAGAAAGGTAATGGTAGAAATATTAAATATTTAACTTCTGAAAAAAATCTAGGTAAATTGACAAGTTCTTTTCTAATTCTTTCAAAGTAAATAGAAAAGTACTATTAAAAGCTTTACCTTCAAACTTCTAAGAATACTGTCTTATTACAAAGGCAAAGGAGTTAAAGAATGCATCAGAGAGAAACATTTTACAAGTGTAGTTTTTAAAAAAGTCTTCAGTTGTGTGTTTTGTATAAGCTAAATATGGGTAAAATACAGCAGCATTCCATTTATAGTCTTACCATCTCTTCCAATTGAGCAGAGTCAAGCAACAAAATGCATTGCTTGGCTAGATGACACGGGCTACAGAGAATCTATCACACTTCATAGTGCTATACATTCATCAAATACCCAACTAAGTAAACAGAACAAATGTAAAGAGAAATCCAAATACTATTTCACCAATGCTAAGTTGACTCTGATTAGAAGAAGAAAACCCCAATATTTACTCTCTCATAGTTTTTAATAAGTATCACTTTCTTACATGTACACTAGTAACCTTAAAAAGACAAATATTTACCACCAAACATTAAATACTGTACAACTTATAAAAAATATAATTTTAAGACTTTGGAGTAATAAATGGGAGGTATCTACTTCCAATGGATCAAATAAGAAAATGCCACTTTTTAAGAAATTTAGCCAGAAAACAGGAAATTTCCAATTTGTCTCAGGAAACACTAAAAATTTTTACTGAAGGCAGAGTTCTTACTATTTTTGTTCAAGCCTTCATCTACATTGTTTTAAATACACCTTAAAGATTTTCCAGTATGTATAAGGCTGCTAAACAGAGTATATGACTGAGGGAAGAAGGACTACGCTAGAATGTGAAGTCGTGAGTAGGGATATGTCTTTCTCATCTTTATATCCCCAGTTCCTAGCAAAGTGCCTAGCTCAAAGTTAAAATGCGTAAGCAGTGGTTGCTTTAAAATGAACTGGGCAAATACACATTTCTATCTTTGGTCCACTTTGCACTCTGCATTAAGCATTGCATTTGAAATACCTGAGATGCAGTCCTTGTTCTTGGCCCTTGACCTTCAACTGAGTAACATAAGCCAATATGCACACACTTTCTCCATCAGCCTTCTGACAGGATCCTCAGAACTGAAGCATCACTGGGTCGTGACTCTTATGTGGTCTGATTCTTACATCTTGGACAACAGTTGATATCGGCATGCAGAAGTAATGTATTTTCAGTGGAGGATAAGTATGTTCATGTAAGCAAGAATGGAATAAAGACCTTGCTTTTTCATGTTTTAAATAACAGATACATAGCATCTTATACATAATTGGCATTTTTTTAGACACGGAACATAATACACTGTATTACAATGCACTATGGTAGGCTTTCATTTTAGGAACAAAAATAAATTTCACATGATAAAAGATTTTAAATTCACATAAAATACATTTAGAATAAATCTAAATGTTTAGCATTAAAATATTCAGAAATAACAGAGAAGCTTTTAAGATGTGTAGTCTCCATTCTGTCCTTAAAGCTCTTTTACAATTATTGATCATCACCTCGTTGTCTTAAATTTCTAGATTTCCCATTTTCAGTTCTTCTCTTTTTGAAGACCGGGGCCACTTCATCTGCCATGACTCCTAGTGAAGTGACTGTTTTTTCTTTAAAAACCACTTTGGGTTCCCCACCAATATTAGCTTCTGAAGTTGACACATATTCATTTTCAGTGCTTGGAAGTTCCAAATCTACCTCCTCACTAGAACAGAAAGTAAAAATAAAACCCTTATTTGACAGAGTAAGACAAATTTTCACATAACCTTTGGGTCCACCAAAGCCCCAAGATCATCTTTCTATTGATGATCATGGTGAGAAGTTAGAAGTTGGTCAGCTGACCAACTAGTAGGAAACGCTTTTAAAATACTTATTTTATAACATTAAGATACTGAGCAACTCATTTAAGTGGACACATCAGGAAAAGTCCCATCTATTCTTTTATTTCTGTTGCACAAAGCATTATGTCATCTGAGGAAATGCTTGTGCTTATATATGATCAGCAGTACAAGTTGTATAGGTTGGTAAGTGAGAGGTATTTATGAAAATTGATTTTGCCATGGACTGACAAGTGACAAGGATTTGGGGGCTTACACAGCACAAGAGGAAAACCATGGCATCTCAATGTCCTGGTGCAGCGGACTTCATGTGGCTGTTTGCTTAGCACCCTCTTTCTAAGGAACTAGCCCTTCAACCATCCACACATTTAGTGTAAATGTTCAGCTGACTAGTCTGGAGGTCAGTCCCTGACTATGTGAGCCTATCATAGTATCCTGCCTTCTGCACAGTCAACAGTCTGTGACAGAGCCAGGAACTCATGTCACAGCATCAGTCCCCTCCATGAGCTTTTTGAACATGGACCAGAAAGATCCTTGTTTAACTCTAAAGTGGCTAAAAGTATAAAATCTGTTGGGAACCACACATCCTCCTATTCAGAGAAAGGAGTTCTAGAAAGATTAGGGATGGAAGATGGAGAATCTTGCCAATGTTTCAGGCCTGGTCAGTAATTCCAGGGGGCCTGTCCAATTACTGCTCCTCAGCTTACAAATAATGGCTGTAAACGTCCCAAACATGGGGAGAGACTTGTACATACAAGTTGAAGCCAATATAGGTCACATCAAAATTCCAATGCAAACAAATGTTTTTCAAGACACCTTTTAATGAAACTGTCTAAAATCAAAGACAAAGAGAGAATTTTAAAAGTAACAAAAGAACTTCACTTATATGAGAATTTCAAGAGATCCTCAAAAAAATAGTATCTCAGCAGAGACATTGCAAGCCAGAAGAGAATGTGATATTTTCCAAGTGCTCAAAGAAGTAAAATGCTAACTATGAATAATTTATCCAATTAAGGTGTCCTTGAGAAACAAAGGTGAGACAAAAACTTTCCCTGGTCAAAAAAATAAAAACACAAAAAACTGAGGATATTCATCAGCACTAAAACTGTCTTACCAGAAATGCTGAAAGGAGATTTTTAAACTGAAATGAAAGGTTGCTAATTACTAACAAAAATATAAGACTGAAATCACACCAAGTATCTTTTCTAACCGCAATGGTAAGAAACCAGAAGTCAACAGGAGGAAAGCTAGAAATTTCAAATATGTGAAAATGAACACACTTCTGAACAATTAATGGCTTAAAGAGGAAACCAAACAGAAATAAAACACTTAAAAAAAAAAGAAACATATCAGAACCTATAGGATGCTGCAAAAGTGATTCTAAGAGAGAAGTTCATAGGGATAAACATCTACAATAAGAAGAAAGATCTCTAATGACCTAACTTTATACATCAAGTAACTGGAAAAAGAACAAACTAAGCCCCAAGTTAGCATAAGGAAGGAAATAACAGATCAGAGCAGAAATACATAAGAGACCAAAAGAACAATAGAATAAATTAAGAAACCTAAGAGCTGATTTATTGAAAAGAAAAAAAAAAATTGACACTCCTTTAGCTATACTAAGGAAAAAAGAGAGAAGACTCAAATAAAATCAGAAATGAAAGAGGAGACATTACAGCTGATACCACAGAAATACATAGAATGATAAAAGACTATGAACAATTACATGCCAACAAACTGGATAACCTAAAACAAATGGATCTATTCCTAGTAACATACAACCTACCAAAATGGAGTCATGATGAAATAGAAAATCTGAAGATATCAACAACTAAGGATACTGAACCAGTAATCAAAAACCTCCCAGCTAAAAAAAGCCCTGGACCAGATGGTTTCACTGGTGAATTCTGAACATTTAAAGAATTAATGCCAATCTTCCTCTAATTCTTCCAAAAAAACTGGAGAAGGGAACACTCCCAAACTCATTCAGGAGACTTGTATTACCCTGATATCAAAACCATATAAGGATAACACAAGAAAAGAAAATCATGAACTAATAACTCTAATGAGTTAGTTATAAACACAAAGTGTAGAAATAACCTAAACGTCAACAGAAAGGGAATGGCTGAGTAAAATCAATGAGTATCTAAATGATTAAATATTATGTAGTAATTAAAAGTAACATTTATAAAAATTTAAATAGGATATTAATATAATGCTAAATAGGGAAAAAGATAAAAACTGGGAAAAATACTTCAAAATGTTAATGTTACTCTGGGTAACTGAATGAGTTATTCTTAAGCATTTCTTCATTTAAAAAAATTTTCTATAATAAACATATGTAGGTTATTTTTAGAGAAAAAAAGCCCTTGAGAAATTAGGCTAACCTACTTAGGAAGTTAGACACAATCTATCACATATTAAACTGGCTGAGTGGTTAAAATTTAACAAGAATGGCTTTATAACATACTTATCACAATGAAAAAAAATACTCAAAAATTGAGAAATCTGAATTTTGATGTATAAGATATATCGGTATAGTAGGACCATCTATCTGCCTATTATAAGTCACCTAAGAAATGTAGGGCTGAAATAACGTAGTCTTACTATTTCTGCAAATTCAATGTATATAGTGACTATGCTTATCATGGTACCTGGCACTATGTAGCATTAAATACGTATTTCCTAATATTTCATTAAGTAACATATACAACTTGTTCATTTCATAATAGTAACATTTTAGTATTTTTTTTTTCTAAATTGGGGGATTGGGGGAGGACAACAGTATTGGGGAGTTGGGGAGGGGGACCAGCCAAGTTGTTGTTCTTCAATCTTAGTTGTGGAGGGCGCCAGTTGCCATCTGGCTGCCCGTCGGCAGCTCGTGGCCTCTAAGCTCAAGGTGTTGTGTTACAATCTTAGTTGCGGGTGGGCGTAGCCACCATCCCATGAGGGAGTCGAACCTGGCAGCCTCGTTGTTAAGAGTGCGTGGTCTATCCACTGAGCCATCCGGGCAGCAGCTCAGCTCAAGGTGCCGAGTTCAGTCTTAGTTGCGGGCAGGCATAGCCCACCATCAAATAGGTAGTCTTGTTAGGAACATGTGCTCTCACCAGCTGAGCCATTCTGCCACCTGTTGGCAGCTCAGCAGCAGCTCAGCTTGGACGCAGCTCACTGGCCCATGTGGGAATCGAACCAGCAGCCCTGTTGCTCAGAGCTCGCGCTCTTAAGCTAACTCTTAACCAACAGAACCACTCGGCAAGCCCTTAATAGCCATTTTAACTGTACTGCGGAGTGTTATCCCTAGGGAATCAATTCTGATTATATACATATAAAGCTGTCCAAAACTTGCATTACTCTACGTTGTGAAAAAAATGACCTTTTCATTACAGTTTTAACAACAATTTCATTATAAATGTATTAACAGGATAGTCATATTACCATATCAAAGCATTAATATTCTGGAGAATAACTGCTTAACTCATGTACGAGGTCTGACAATTAAGTTCATGAACTTGTTGCAACGATGTTGTTAACCTTTTTTTGATATCAAGGGATTATTCATCATAAGTTTGTATCACCTGGACAGTTAACCAAGTTTACTATTTGGAAGTACTGAAAAGGCTGTGTGAAAAAGTTACACGACCTGAACTTTTCACCAACAATTCACGGCTCTTGCATCACAACAATGTACCAGCTCACACAGCACTGTCTGTGAGGGAGTTTTTAGCCAGTAAACAAATAACTGTATTGGAGTACCCTCCCTACTCACCTGATCTGGCCTCCAATTACTTTTTTCTTTACCCAAAGATAAAGGAAATATTGAAAGGAAGGCATTTTGATGACATTCAGGACCTCAAGTGTAATACGATGACAGTTCTGATGGCCATTCCAGAAAAAGAGTTCCTAAATTGCTTTGAAGGGTGGACTAGGTGCTGGCATCAGTGCAAAGCTTCCCAAAGGGAGTGTTTCACAGGTGACTGTAGTGATATTCAGCAATGAGGTATGGAGCACTTTTTCTAGGATGAGTTCACGAACTTAATTGACCGACCTCGTAGATACTTTGTTCACCTGATGATTTTTTTAAGCATTTAAGAAACACTGGGGCTGGCCGAGTGGCTTATTGGTTAAGACTTGGCTTGCGAGTACGGGCTCTGAGCAGCAGGGTCACTGGTTCGGATCCCACATGGGTCAGTGATGCTGTGCACTCTACAGCTAAGATCGTGAACAACAGCTCGACCTGGAGCTGGGCTGCTGTGAGTGGCTGGTGACAACTGCAGTGGGGCTGCCATAAGCTAAAGTGAGTGGCTGGCAGCCGGCGTGAGCTGCCATGAGCTGCCGTGAGCAGCCGTCCAATGGCCAGCAACCAATGTGCCTCACCTGGGAAGAGCGCAATGATCACAATACCAACATGGGCCAGTGAAGCGGCGTCCTCCACAACTAGACTGAAGAAGAAAAGGACAGCAACTTGTCTGTTCCCCTTCTCCGATTCCCCAATGCTGTTCCCCTCCCCCAATTCCCCAATAAAATCTTAAAAAAAAAAAAGAAACACTGATCTGTGAAACTGGCAGTGACATCATCCTTTTATTGTATAAATGGTCCTAATAACGGATTTGCACACATAAGCTAATAATATAAACCAGATAATATCTCATCATGATCTTGTCTAATTGATAAAACTGTTCTGGTTTTTGATGCTGGCTTAAAAACTTCGGTTAAGTGTCATCAGCCATTTTCAAGATAGCAACAAGAACCTATTTCTCGGCTTCAGATGTACCACCTACAGCATTTATTGAATAGGCAGGTATTTCTCTGTAGAAGGATGGTGAGTGTGAGAATGCTTATGTGTACATAAGGTGAGTTAGTGTGTGAATGTGTGGTCAACAGAAATGCCATGTTTTAGAAGAAAGGAAAATAATCATTAGCTTACTTTTTAAAATAACCATTAACTCACACTTTAAAATATTTTTTAAAATAATAATAAAACTACTGTAGAAATGAATGAGCTACATTTTTAATGAGCACCTTTTCCTTCAAAGTAGTTACTGCAATTTATGGAAATATTGGGATATAAAATACTTGTAATAACAGTGGGATTATGTTTTAGGTACTTACTGAGACTCAACTTCTTGTTTAATTTCTTGCCATTCTCCATAGGGGTTTGATTTTTTATGAGCTTTGGGTTTTTCTTCCTTTGGACCCAATGAATTCTGCTCTTGGATATTTTTGTCTTTCTGTTTTTCTGGTTCAGTTTCTTTCCCACTATTTTTATTTTTTTCCTGAAATGACAAAGTCAAGAAATAACACACTACCAGCACAGGAACAAAATTTCTTTAATGTAATCTTGCTATTGATTTATAAATAACAACACATTAAGTCACTTAATATTTCAAATTTGCACACAAATGTACATAAAAAACTTTCATGTTTGATTAGGTTTTTCATTACCTCTAATATGTTAACACACCATGGCCAAAGCTGCTTTTTAAAATAACAGAGCATGAGCCTGTTAATGTGCTACAATTAAAGACATACACTGGTCTTTATCCTCTCTTCTCTTTTCTGCTTTCTCTCCTTACTTACATCCAACAGAGGCCTTCTTTCATACTGAGCTCCTTTTGAATTTAATGCCATGTCATTGGACTCTTCTACACCCATTATTTATTTAAAGAACTCTCTCAAACTATTAGTCTTAAATGAAATTCATCTTCCCGTTGAGGACACTGCCAGAACTTCAGTGGCCTATACAACTGGTAGCTACGTGAAATTAGACAAAGACACACCCTGGAGGTAGAAGCAGCTCCCAGAGTCCCTGGCTAGCACTAGTGCTTTTAACAACACCCCCTCACCATCTGGGATAACAAAGCCCAGTGACCCAATTTGGCAAGTGGACCACGCGCTCGATTTCAGCCTCTTCGCAAACTGCACAACCGTGGGTGGCATGCCTGGGACACTGTTTTGTTTGCAATTCTTTGAATGGATGTTCACTCATTCCCTCAGGCTGTTATCACAGAACTAGGAGGCAATGTGCAATTTCTCTGAGCAATCTTGACCCTTCCAGCCATGACTTAAAAAAAAAAACCAAAACATATTTACTAAGGTCATGATACCTTTTCACTTTGATCCTCATGCAATGAACGCCGCCTCCTCTGAGGCTCTCACCACCATCTCCTATACAGTTCTCTTCCATTCCTCCTTATATGATCTAATGACCTCTGGCCACTACTCCATCTTCACAGATGACTGTGGCAACTCTGACACCAAGTCCTCTCTATTCAAACTCTTGTCATCCTAGAGCTTAAAAATTCCTGAACCTAGGTTTTGTGAGCTTTAAAACTAATGACTTTGGTCTTCACTATACAGTCATACTTCGGAGATACTGCAGGTTCAGTTCCAGATAAAGTGAGTCTTGTAATCTTTTTGCTGCTGGAGGGTTTGCCTTCAATTTACAAAATATGGAAACATCTGTGAAACGCAACAAAACGAACTGCAATAAAACGAGGTATGCCTGTATTTAGCTACCTAATGCTAATATATAGCATCATATATAATGCTATATATAATAGGATTATAGGTAGTTTGTCCTTGTTTATCTGTATTCTGTAGCATTCTGTTTCCTTGAAGTTAATACTGTCTGTCTCAAGTTGGATGCTGGGTTACCTAAACTTGACTATAAACACTGAGATGGCTACTACTAAGATCTTTGCTGCTGCTCCTCTACAAACTATTGTAGATACATCCCTCACCCTAAGCTCTCCCAAGGTTCACGGGGTAGGGAGAGAAATTCCAGGCAGTCATAAGCGCCTAGGTGTGGCCTCAAAGTACCCTCTCCGCAGCATCTTGGCTATTCCTTCAGCTCTCAGGCCAGCAATGTCACCCATGGATCAATGCCATGTGTCTTGTCTGCTTTGGCACCTGGGCTCCTGAGTGTTCCTGGAAAAGTCACAAAAGCAGGAGGACTAGCACTATCATATATCATATCTCCCCATGTATAAGATGCACCCTTTTTCGAAAAATTTGGGGTCTAAAAACTGGGTGTGTCTTATACAGTGGTTGTAGATTTTTTTACTTGCATTTCCTGCTTTTTCGTGCTTGTTTCTGCGCTCATTGTTTTGCACTTGTTACCAGTATATTATGTTTTGCCACATTCTGCCCAGAAATGGCTCAGAAAAGATTTTTGTACAGTGCTGAATTCAAGTTAAAAGTGATCCAGTGTGCAAAAGTGAATGGAAATCGTGCTGATGAACATAAGTTTGGTCCTCCAACTGAGAAAACAATCCGAGACTGGCTACGGGAAGAAGAAACCCTACTCAAAATGCCACGGCAGAAGGCCATGAGAGGCAATATATGGAGACAGTGATTCGTTATCAGACACAGATAAGGACAAGCTAATGGTTGGGAGTTTTGAGTGATGAGGAGTTGTATGAATTTTATGATGAATAAAACTTGAGTTCAATAACTTTATGTAATACTTTTTTTTTCCAAATTTTGGGCCCCAAAATTAAGGTGCGTTTTATACATGGGAGTGTCTTATACATGGGGAAATATAGTAACTGCATTTTTGCTTTACTGCCATGGCTAGGCACTCAGCACAACCTCTCAATCCTTACTTGGTTCATTTCCTCTTCCACTCCAGCTCAGTGACTATTTCAATCCATTAGTGTTGTCAAGCTCCCGAAAGCTCCTCACTCTCTGCAATCAATCTTGATTTCTTTGTGAATGAGTAAATTGAGGCTAAAGGGTATGACTCTTTCAACTTCCTCCCTGATACCAACTCATCCATAGTTGTACCTACTTACAGAAAATGAAAACCTTACCTTCTCACAGAAAATGAGTTTATTCCTTGTTCAAGACCAACCTACCCAATGACCCTTGTTGGTATTCCCTTTCTACCTCCTTTGGGGTCCCTCTCAATGAAAACAACCACCACCACCAATCTTATGATTAAGAGTCAATATGTGGCAACCACTCTCACTTTTCATCCCCCTGTAATCGGCCACCCGATACTCTGGTGAAACTGCTAGAAGAGCATCAAGGACCTCATTACTGCAAAATTCAATGGACATTTTTCTTTTTATTTCTAATTAATCCATGATGCTCTCTATTCCTTTGGCTTCCAGGATATTAAATTCTTCTGCTTCTCTGAGCACCATTCTAATCACTCTTTCTTCATTCTACCTCGTGGGCTCCTCTTTCTCTGCCTGCCACTTAAATGTTTAATATTCATCAAGGTCATTTTCCTAGGTAACCGCACCCAATCTGAGATTTGAATTACTACCAGTATGCTAATGATATTCAAATGAGCATCTGCAGCCTGGACATTCAGACTTGCATGTTCAGACAGTTCTCCAAATGTTAGTCATCTCAAACTTAGGAGGTTTAAAAGTGAATTTACTGTCTTGCTACCAAACAGATGTCAATAAATGGTATAACTATTTATCCAATTGCCAAAATATATTTTAGTTTTATGTCTCTCTTCTACCAGAAAACTGAAGAAAGTTGGCAGAGCTTTTATAAATTGATAAATTTGAAAAGACTAAATCAAGAACCTACCTTAAACTTTATTTTTATCTTTTGTGTTTCTGTAGAGACCTCTCCTTTTTCTACTTCCTGTTCCCCATCTGAATCACTATGTGAATCTGATGATTTGGACTCTTCTTTGGTGCAAAGTGACTTTTCATTGACTTTACTAGAAAGCAGATCGCCAGAGTGTGGAATGAAATCATCAGGTTTTTCCCATCTGGATTCTATTCAACACATTTTAATGGTCATGTTATTTGGTTACCAATTCAATTCAGAAGTAATTCCCAATATAATGCTTCCTGTCACATATTATTAAATGACAACACTGCACCTATTTTATACCATCTCTTGATCAAGAAGATAAAAAGACTTCTGTAAGCTCTTGCCCTTGTATCTTTCAGAAATTGACTTCAAACAATCTGGATTCATTAGATGTATCAACTATAGATGGAAAAAGACCTAAGAACTGGGCAATATTTTCTAAGGACTCTCATAATTTAGCTGACACCAATTTCAGGAAACATAATAATGAGCACACATCAGATTTCTTGGAATTTATTTATCACAAAGATGTCCTGGGATCTTCGCAAAGTGAAATCACACTGTAAAAATCTGAGTTAATATAATTTGTCTTTTTTTATAGAAGGAAACAAAGAAAATCTTGATTGAACTCTACTGCCACCCAGTGGTTTATTGGGCTTTTAGTAAAATGATGGCATTTCTAATTATCTTGCAGTTATTCTCTAGTTTTAGTTTAATAAAAGAAGGGATTCTAAAATTTATTGTCCAACTGAGACAGTTTCAAGAGTGAAAGGAACTCTATTAATAATCACGGTGGTCTAGACATAAACCAAAACTGTTGAGGACAGTCCCTTATTAACATAAAGTACTTTTCAGCACTAATGAAAAATATTACTTTTCCTTGTCTCTATTTCACACAAGTAACGTAAGAATTTTCAGGAAATAATTTGTTAAGCGTCAAATGTATACCAGACACCGTTCTGGGAACTTTATAGACATCTGACTCATGACCCCATAGAGTGCATGATCGTCTCTACTTAAGAGCAACTATAGGCTCAGTGACTTGCCCACAATCACGTAGCTGTAAGAAGCTGTGCGTTGAGCTCAGATCCAACTCTACAGCTACGTTAGACACTCATATTACTTAATCTCTGTAAATATTCAGTACCTCAACGTAATGGTTTTTAAACAGAACCAGTGCTATCACTGCACAGGCTAGGTATCTACCTAGAGGTTAAAAGGGCCTTCTTTTCCTCCTAGAAGGCTTAATGCTATGTAGAGGGCTTTGGTTAGTAGGAATTAAAACAAGAAAAATTGGCCAAAGCTACACCAGTACTATAGCCATTTTGGTAAGTTTAACTGAAGAAACCAAATACAATTACTTGAAAACCAGATTTATGAAATTAAATTAGATAAAATCTTAATTTGAAATACATAATTAGATAACAATAATTATTCATGTTTTATAAATATTTATATAACTGAAACATTATTAAATTCATAAAAGGGAAATTTGACAATCTTAGCCACTCCTAAAATAGCATCAGTTTTATTTTTTTGAAAAAGCAAAAGCAAGTTAAACTAGGTGATCTCTCAGATAGCTTCCAAGGTAATGATTTTATTTCTAAAATAATCATGATAAAAATTAGTAATGGTAGAAAAAGTAAAAATGACTCTCTTTAAAATGCGTGCATGCAGTATCAATTGAGAATAACAACACATAGAGCAGTATATTATATATAGAAATCACTTTTGCTTTTCCATTGTATTAATGTTTTAAGTTATAAAAAAACAATACACACTTGCTACAAAAATGTGTATCACTATATGTACTAAAATTCCCTAGTTCAGATGATTCATCAGCAGGCTAATAAACAATTTCAGGTATAATTTTAGATAGTTAAGATAATCAAAGGTAACACTTACCTCCTGTTTCTGTATTATAATAATAGGTATAACCATCTTCACTTAAACCTTCTATCCAAACAGCCTTCACTGCCGTCTAAATAGGGAAAAACCAGCATAAACTGAAGATAATGATGAGGTTTACATATTAGATAACTAAGACAGAGTTAGCCACCCTTTTCTTTCCTCTTGACACGTGGGAGTTAGAGATCAACAGAGGCCAACTTTCAGGGAGAGAATGTCTCACCTCTGAAAGCTAGAAAACAATTCTTCACAGATGGACAGGGACATGTGAATGGCAACTAATAATATTTGCCCTGCACAGAGTTTTTGGGTAGACATCACTTTTAACCTCCACCCAGCCTTCTACTAAAAGGATTGTAGGGAGAAAGGAACAAAGTGTTGGGGGTGGGATGCGGCTTATCTGGAAGTAAATGTGCTTGATACTCTATCTAAAAAACTCTATCTAAAAAACCTCAGAAGCCAATCACTTTAAAAAAATAAAGCAAAGACACAATGTACTTCAGTTACCTTTTTTAAGTTTCCTTGAAATCCTTCAGGTTTCTCCCACTGAGATGCTTAAAACAAAACAGTGCATTTATAAAATCTTTTTGCTTAAAAAAACTTTCCAAAAAATTTAATTTGGCATACATTTACAAGATATTTAATGTGTACAAAACACTACAGATCTAGTTAAAAACATAATTGAAAAATAAGAACCAACATGCATTCCAGTAGTATTGTGCACAAGAATACATGTGAATGCTATGTAACCAAGAAGAAAGGACAGAATGAGATTAAAAGTTACTGGTACTTCCACAGGAATTATTAGAGCCAGGTAGGGCTTCTCTTAAAGACTTCGTGGAATTCAGTCTTGATCAATTTGGAAGGAATGAGATAGACTTTTGATATCTTAGGGGAAGGGGAGAGGGAGAGATGGGATGAATGACTCAGAGGAGGAAAAAGATGAAGCAAGCAGGAATTAAAATCAAGTGTTGCAGGGCTGGCCGAGTGGCTCAGTTGATTAAGAGTGTGAACTCTGAGCAATGGGGTCGCCGGTTCAATTCCCACATGGGCCAGTGAGGTGCACTTGAGCTGAGCTGCTACTGAGCTGCCAACAGGTGGCAGGATGGCTCAACTGGTGAGAGCTCGTGCTCCCAACAAGGTTTCCGGTTGGACTCCCGCATGGGATGGTGGCTACTAGGATTGAACATGGCACCTTGGGCTGAGCAGCCATGAGCTGCTGACAGGAGGCCGGACGGTGACTGGACTTGGAGCTGAGCTAGCTGCACCCTCCACAACTAAAATTGAAGGACAACGACTTGGCTGTTCCCCTTCCCCAATTCCCCAATAAAATAAAATTTAAAAAAATCAAGTGTTGCTGAGAAAAAATATAGTGAACAAAGGAAGCAAGCAGTAGGCAATAGAAGGGAGAAAAGACAATAAATAGTTTCTATGTAAATTTGAAAAAGACTTATAATCCCTAGCATACAATTATTTATGGTTTACTGCTAAGCTATAGCATGCACTTCACTGAAGGCTCAGAGCAAATTCTGAGTAATTATTACTATTTCTATATAGTCTGAAACTGATCGTGATTCTAAAGATTGTAATAATTATGATACTTGGAGGCCAAAGTTTTCTTCATGATTAACTCTGATCTCATTTCTTGCCTTCCGGACCATTCTTAACTTTTCTTTTATCCATTTCTTTAATATATGTACTACCCACCCATGTTACTTCTTGTTCTCTTCTTTCTCCTTGTGATCGCACATACTCCTAAAAGTTAACATATTATCTACATTCCCAGACTCAATTTATCTCCCTAACTCACAACTCTAACAATCAATTCGTTACTGAAAATCGCTATACGAATGTTCTATAGGTACGCCAACCTTAACATATTCAAAATTGAATTCATTACTATCCTACTTAAACGTACTCGGTTTTCACATTTCCTGCCTCACTAAATGACACCATCATCCTCCCAGCCCTCCATGATATGGTCCCAATCTATTTTTCAAGCCTCTTTCTTCTGCTATGACATCTTCAAAGAACCTTATGCTTTACCTCTACCAGATGACTACTTCGCAAACATTCAAACCTTTTTTAGGGTCATATTGTTCTACCTGTCTGGAATGCTTGCTGTACACTCATAACAACGTACTTCAACCTTTCTCAGTTGAAAAACCCATGGAGTGTCTACACCAAATCAGGCACTATGTTAGGTGCTAGGGATAAAAATAATAAGATGACATCATTCCTGACGTCCTCATTTTAACTTACACATTAGCTCAAAAGTTAATTCCTGTGATAATCTCTCAGATCCACATAATCACAATTAATACTCCACTATTTTGAGCTCCCATGTAATCTTAATTACATCTTCACTATATTATAGTTCTTTAAAATTTCTCCTTGTCTCGTTATTTCTGATACTAAATTTTATATTTCTGGAGACTAAGATGCTACATAAAATTCATTTATCTCAGAATTTACATGGAATAAACACCCAAATACATTTAGTTTTAAAGGAAGTCAAAAAGATCTTTTTCATATTCTTACTAAGAAATACCATTGTATATTTTATTACAAATTGATATCCAAAACATTAATATGAAGGAGGGATATTTTACTTGTTCAATTAAGACAGCTACACAAAAAAGAAATCAGTTTCTGGTTCCCAGTCTGCTCTGGCATAGAAAATCTCTTTCATAGAATATTTTATTTCAAGAACCCCTGCAATTTGCAACATGGATCCAAAATGCCTTAATTCCACCTAAAATGGTTTATTTACATGTAATTCATAGTTTTGAAGGTTTTATTGAGAAAATACAAAGCTTTAGTTTATTTGTAAGTAACCCACTATTAAGGTTTTAACTAAGTATGACACTGAGTCATTATGAGAAGGGTACCATTTTAAAAGGTACATAATTTTTTTTACCATTGTGGCAAAAATGTAAAGATACCATCTTTCACTATTTGGACATTCCAATATTAACTAAAAGTCCAAAGACAAACTGTCAGTTATTATTCTCTATATGCCTAAATGACTTACCTCCTGTGATAAGATCATAATAGTAGTGGTAACCCTCAGAGGTTATGCCTTCTACCCATCTGCCCTTTGAAGGGTCTTTTTTCTTTTTCTTCTTTTCTTTCTGCTGATTTGATACAGAGGTGGGTGGGACAGTGTTGGTTACTGGTGATATGCTTGGCTCTGTAATTTCTAGAGAAAAGATGAGAGATAGGTAAAGTAGACAATCTAACTTTTTTCCCCTGTGAGAAAACATTGTTATTTCCAATCAAAAGCCTGATCAAGTTCTTTGGGGAACTTGACACGTTATTATAAAGCTCATTTGGAAAACTAAACATGCACAAATATCCAGGAGAATTAAAAAAAAAAAAGACATGATAAGGGGAATCTAGTCCTACCAGGTAATAAAACTTATTCTAAAATTATGGTAGAAAAGATCAACAGTGTAAACCTGATCCAGGAATAGGCCGACATATAACTGAAACAGAGCAGACTGAAACAGAAACAGATCCAAATGAAAATTCCTGGTGCTTCTTAGTAGATGGAACAAGAAATCATTTAATAAATGATGTTGGACTAACTGGTTAATTATTTAATTATTTGGAAAAAAGTAAAGTTATTCCCCACTCCTCAGTCCCTTCCATGTTTTTACACCAACATAAATTTCAGATCAAAGTTATTTACAAAAAGAATACAAAGTAAAATAATGTTAAATTTGACTACACAAAAATTCAAATATTCTGTATGGCAAAAATAAAAACAAAATACACAGACACGAAAAACAAATGACAAATAGTTATAACAAATATGACCAAGGGTTAATATTCCCAAGAAAGATCCCTTACACATTCAACATTGTAACAAAAAATGGGAAAAAGTACAAAGGCAATTTAGAAAATTAACATTTACCTTCATTAACATTGAAAGAAATGCAAATAAATAATGTTTTTGCATTCCATCAGTAAGTACTGAAAAGAATGACCAAATCCATTGTTAGTCAGTCTGATCCATGGGTATGAAAAAACGGGTATATGGAACTCAGTTATCCTCAAACTCTCAAGTTATCTACCTTCTTGCTGGCAAGGATGTGGTGAAAGGGAACTCTTATACACCATTGGTGGGAATGTAAATTGGTCCAATCACTATGGAAAACAATATGAAGGTTCCTCAAAAAATTAAATATAAATCTATCATGCAATCCAGCAATTCCACTTCTGAATACATACCCAAAGGAAATGAAAACAGATCTTCAAAGATAAATAAATATGCACTCCTGTGTTTATTGCATTATTATTAATAATAGCCAAGATATGAAAAGAATCTAAATGCCCATCAACAGATGAATGGATAAAAAAAAGTGGCATATACACACAAAATTATACAGCTATGAAAAAGGAGGATATCCTGCCATTTGTGACAACATGGATGGACCTTGAGCATACTGTGCAAAGTGAGATAAGTCAGAAAGAGAAAGACAACAAGTACTGCATATCTTTTATATGTGGAATCTAAAAAACTCATAAAAAACAGATTAAAATGGTGGTTACCAAGGAGTGGGGGAATAAGACTGATGTTGTTTTAGGATACAAACTTGGAATGACTAGTAAATAAGCCATAGAGATCTAATACATAGTGTAACGAATATAGATAATAATATTGCACTATAATAATGTAATACAATAAATATCACCACAAAGGCAATCATATTACAATGTATAAATGTTTCAAAATAACACTCTGTACACCTTAAAGTTACACAATGTTATGTCAAATATATTCAATTAATCAATAAAAATAAAAAAGAAAAAGAAAAAAGTTATCTACCTTCTAGCAGTAATCAGTTAATTTGTCCACAAAAGGCTAACTCACTGTAATTCAACCATATAAATAAACGTTTCAGTTTTGACCATATGGATAAAGTGAACTGTGGTTATAATGCAAGCCCCATTTTTTAATGAACAGCTCCTTTTTGATGAATAATTCGAATACCTAAAAAACTCAAATGTCTCTGAAATGAACCACTGACCTAAAACAGAGCTAGGACTATGTAACCACAAGGGTAGTATAGCTATTGTGAATGGTGGTGGTAAAACTTGAAGCTTTAAAAGCAAAACAAAAGTGCATGAGACCCAGAGTCTAAACAGGGCTATGATGCATAGGAAAAGCACTAGGAGTATACACTGAGTGTATAACCTGTTTATGGAAACAATAGAAACTCACTTAGCATGACCTCTGATGTTACTTTTAAAGCATGTTGGCTGCTTTTTTACCTGACTCTAAGCCAAGCCTTTTCAAATCCTCTTGGTATGCTTTCAGGGCAGCTGCCTCCATTGCAGCAAACTCCTTTGATGCCTTTTCTTCTTCCTTCGCCTTATCCAGGCTTTTCTGTTTAATCTGTGTCAAGACACATATAAAAGTGAAAGCTAGGTAAAGGACTGACATGTACATGGAAAAATTGGCAAAGTAATAAACAAACTAAATTACCTCACTGATCCTCTTTGCCACATTTTCCTTATGATTCTTTCCTCTTTCATGAAAGTCAATACTCTTAAAAATGAAGAAAAGAAATACAGAGAAAAACTATGTAAACGTTATAATAGTCACAGTAAAGTAACAGTAAATATGGGAATGGAACGTAACAAAATTGAAACTAAAATGACTGGCAGAAAAGATAAAAATAATTTTAATGCAAACTGGCCCTTTTTATCAAATGGTGCTGCAGAACTGAACTACATTATTAATTATTATGCCCACTGACTAGGTTTCCTTTGGTGCTTAAAATAAACTGATGACCTTATTAACGGAGAAAAATACAAGGTACCTTTGATGACTAATCTAGCAAATATGATTATAATGAGGACTCAAGACATGAAGCCAAAGGAGAAGTGGGGGAAAAAAACCTTAACTTCAGGAAACGCCTCTCAGCATAAAGTGTCAAAGCCAGTAAGTATCTAGAATGTGTACTGCTCTATTTGCCACATTAGGTAAGAGACAGAATAACCAATGATTTTTAGAACCTTATTCCTCCAAATTGGGAGAAAAGTGAACATTAAAAAACTTCTCCTAAATTGTAAACAAATACTTTTACACAATGTGGTACAAAATGTAAAACTTCTATGCAAGACAATTTGGCACTACTATCAAAATTAGACTGCTATAATAGAGAACAAAGAGGCTCTCTATATATTAATGTAGAGAGAGCTCTGGGCTATACTGTTCAATTAAAAAAAAAACCTATGGTGCAGAATAGTATTTATAGTATGCTACTTTTTATGTATGCAGAATAAGAACCTATATCTAGATGCATATAGAAATAATAGAGACAAAAAAAATGAAAAAAGGAATGATAACTAGATGGATGGGGACAGAGGTGGGTAAGTGAATGTTATAGCCTACTTAAAACAGCCAGAAATACTCCCTAAATTACAAATGTCTGGTTATACGCAATAAGAATTTTTCTGGTAAACTTTGCAAAACAAGTTTTGTCAATCAAATCTTACATGATGCATTAGCTGAGCTATTCTAAAGTATTACTGTGAATTCCTCTTTAAAAGTGTGACTTTGGGCCGGCCGAGTGGCACGATGGTTAAGAGCTGGCTCGGGATGCCAGAGACCCCGGTTCGGATCCCACATATGAGGGCCGGTGACACTGCCCTCTACAGCTGGGATGCTGAACAACAGCTCAACCTGGGGCTGGGCTGCCGTGAGTCGGCCCCTGTGGCAAGGTGTTGCCATGGGCTACTGTGTGTAGTCAGCAGCCAGTGTGAGCGGCCAGCAGCCACAGTGAATGGCTGTCCAGAAGCCGGCAACTGATCTGTCTCGCCCGGGAAGAGCGCAATGATGGTGCTGGCTTGGACCAGTGAAGCGACGTCCTCTGCAACTAAACTGAAGAACAAACGACAGCAGCTTGTCTGTTCCCCTTCCCCAGGTTCCCCAGCACTGTTCCCATTCCCCAATAAAGGAAATCTTAAAAAAGAAAAAAGTGTGACTTTGTAAAAGCAAATATTAATCCTCTGTTTTTCATATCTTAACTTTCCTAAAGTTGGTTATACCACACAAAGAATATTAACGGCCCATGCAAAAGTAAATTAATTTCTTTTTTTTAAATTTTATTTTTTTACAGTATCCTATATAAATTAATTTCTAATTAAAGGTTAAATCAGTGTGTACTAGCAATTCAAGGAGATGCAGAAAGACTATCCTAGAAGGGATTTTTAGCTCTAAATAACTCACGAAGTTCATTCAACTGCTTCGGTACCTCTAAGGAAGAGACTACCAATGATTTGAGGTTTTAAAATCTGTGGCATTTATTTGTAAGGATGGCCTAGATCAAACTTGAGCACCTATTCAAAGAGACCAAAAACAAACAAACAAAACCCAAAATAAAAATATCTCCAAACTCCTTATAGACAATAGTAAATAATGTCTACCAAAGAAATACAACACTGCTAAAGGTGGGGCTTCTATTCTCTCATGCATTCAACTCTACCAAGTAAAAATGATATAAATATATACTTAAAAATGCCCTAGCCTTTAGGTACTATGTACATAGTGCTATGATAGGTATGAAAAGAGTAAAAAAAAAAAAAAAAGCAATGGTGCTGCTTTTTGTTTTATGTCTTAAAAGCAATCTAGACTAAGAAATACAGTAATATAATATGCTTAAAAGAGTTGCTATTTTCATATTCCATGACAGAGTTAATGATCTTTCAAATCTAAGCAGTTATAGAGCAAAAACCTCTAGGGCAAAAACATACCAGAAAAACTATAGTAATCCTTCTTTTTACAGATTAAGGGCTTCACAGTTTTACTTTTCTTTGTATATGACAGTATTACAAACAACACCATCATAATGTAGGTATTTCATAAACATGCATGAGAATACCCAATGTCATTTCCTGAACTTGACTGAAGGGCCATAAAGAAATCATTTGGCTTAACATATAATCAAATTTAGGCTGATGAAAAGGGAGAAGGCTCACAGCTTTCCTACAAGGAATGAAAAGGCAATAGAAATCTTTCAATGTTCTGAAAAATCAAGAGCAATGTACATGGAAAGTGCTTTGTAAACTGAGTTTAGATAAAAAAGAAACATTTCACATAAACACAGCATTACTAGAATCTCTAACAGTGGGATTATCATACAGGCCTGTTGTCTGCTATCCAACACTTGCAGTAATCACAGAATTTCTTTGGTTGTGACTTCCAGTAGTCTGCCCTGGAAAAGGGAAAAACAAGTCTAAGCTTATTTATAATTTTAACAGGTTAGATTTTGCATGCTTTACATCTTAGAGTTGGAAATGTAAGCCCCTGCTACTGAATCCTGTCTTGTTATACACAGTACCCTGTTTTATGATTTATCTGACTGAAGCAGTCAACTGAACTTCTGTTGCAGTAGCGTAGAAAAAGTCTGCACCGGATTTAAAACTCCACTAAATGTAACAGGTTAAAATTTTTCTTTCTCTCATGTTACTGTCATCAGTGTGAAGAAATAAGGAATATCTTCTAGTTGATTGATTCTTTCCTTTCCTTTCCGGCATTCTGGGAGGTTACTATAATGAAGGCCTGAAGAAACTCATCAAGTTTCCTTTAAATCAAGTTATTGCCACCAAAACAACAAAGCACAAGACTCCTTGTGGTGGGAGACTGTGGTTCCTCCGAGACTATCTGTTGATACAATTTGTTCCCGAGCCTCAGGGCAAGACAGTTGGAGAAGCCAACGGACCTCTCCGCTGGCAAGGCAAGGCAAGGCAAAAAGAAACCATTCCTCTAACCAGGGCTGGCCTTTTCCAGCAGGCGAAGGAGTCACCCGCGGCCGCAGTCCAACCTAAAAGTTTCACAATACCCCAAGGTTCAAGAGCCAGACACGAAAAGGGTGCTGGCGACCCCCGACTCTGTAGGTGGACGGAGCCATCCGTCGCTTCGCGGGCGGTCATCCATCCAACCTCCACTGGCCGCCAGCCTCCCTCCCGAGAGCCCGTCTTCCCAGCCCCTAGGGGTGCTCCGCGGGGTAGCATTTCTACCCCGCCCAGAGAACCGGCCCGGCCCGTCTGGGTCCGGTCCCGAGCGAGTTAAGCGCGCGTCCGTCACGCCTCCAGCCCAAGGGCGGGGGAGATGGGGGGTGGGAGCGGACTGGCGGTGGAGGGAGAGAGCCGGCGGGGAGAGGGCCGCCCCGAGAAACAACACCGCCTTGTTTAGAGCCTGAGACCCAACTCACATGACTGCACCAGCCGCTCCGCGCGTCGCCTCCGGGTCCGGCTCAAGCTCGCGTTCTCCACGCGGGGCGAGGGGGAGCCCGGCCAGATGCGAGGCCCACCCGAGCCTCGGAGCCCGGACACCTCCCTCCTTCCCCGGGGCCCCGGGTTTCACGGTTCCCAACTACGGGTGCCCCGACGACTCAATCCGCGTTCGCACGCTCCTCCTCCGCCCCTCCCCCTCCGGGGGCGGTGCTCCCGGCTCCTGAGAGGTGGGGTCGCTATAAAGGGTGAGGTCACCGAGAAGGGGCAAAAGCGCGACGGGACCTAAGCCGGAAAGCTGCACCCCGACGCCTGCAGCCCCCGCGTCCTCCCGCCTTCTCCCCCTCGCTTTCCCTGCGATCCAGAACCTCCACCCTTCTTCTAGACTCGCTGGCTCGTGGCCTAGGAGCTCGCGCGCCGCCTCCGCCCCGAACGCAAACAGCTGTTCCCCCGAGACGTCGCCGCCCTCAACTTTGCCAACTAGTCCGCACGCACTTTGACCGGCGGAGCGACCCGGACCTGTAGGCTGGGGGGCCGTTGGCGGAGTGTAAAACAGGGAGGTGAAACAGTGGCTCCCGGGCCCGCGAGGTGCCGGGCTTTGCTCAGAACTTTCCTGAGTCGGCGGAGCGACCGCGCTCCGCCTCCACGACGCCCGTGCGCCGCGGCCGGACTCGTTCCTCCGCTCGGGAGCGCGTGGGCAGCGGCGGGAGCGGCTCGCGCGGCGCAGAGTGGCGGCGGCGGCGGGAGCGGCGGTGCGGCGCGGAGCCGAGGCGGCGGCGGCGCGGGCGCTTGTCAGGTGAGTCAGCGCGGCGTCTCCGCAGCACTTCCCATATGGTCTAGCGGTTAGGATTCCTGGTTTTCACCCAGGCGGCCCGGGTTCGACTCCCGGTATGGGAACGTCGTAGCTTTTTAAAAAAGCCAACCCAGGGGAAGCTAGTTTTATTGCCAGTGGCTCTCGCCCCCCGCCTGTCCCCCTGCTCCGGGTGAGTTTGTGGAAAACGAGCTTTCGTAGTTAGTTGTTCGCTGCGCCGTGCCCTGGGCTGCGGATGTGCGAGTCCCGAGTGCCGCGCCGGGCGGGCTGCAGGAGCGAGTGCGCTTGGGGTGCCCCGTGCGCCCAGCCTGCGCTGGCGGGGCCGAGCCGCCGGGAAGGAGTTTCGCTTTCTCCGGGGCCCCCTCCCGCCACTGCGGCCCCGTTTTCTAGACGCTGGGGAGGCGATGATGAACTCGGGCCTCGCCTCATCGCCTCCCAGAGCCCCTCCGGCCCACGCCCTGCTCGGCCGCCCCCTTCCGACTGCCCCGAGCGCCGCGGGGCGTGCTTGCCCCCTGCCCTCGGCGCCCGGGACCCCCCTCCCGCAGGCCGCTTTAACTCTCCGCGGGGCGGTAACGGGAACCCCCACACACCCCTACACAAAGCGGCCTCCCCCGGGCGGGGGCGCGCCTAGGGCGGGCCGGCCGGCGAGCCCGGGTGTCCGCGGGCGCGCCTTCCCGTCACCGCCTGACCAGCCGCGTGTCCGCCCGGGGCGCCCGCGGCGCCCGCGAGCCCAGCCTGAGAGCCCGTTCCAGCCTGACGTCGGGGGCGCTGGTCGCGCGCGGCTCACAAAAAGCAGCCCGGCTCGAGAGCCGCCGACTTGAGTGCTTTTGCTTGGGAGGGCTCTGGGGAAGGGAATCCTTTCCGTCCCTTTCTAGCCACACACCACACGCACGCACACGCACGAGCTGCGGAGCAGAAAGATGCCACTACGAGGAGATGTCCTCAAAGAAGAAAATTGACTTCCCGAAGCGTCTAAAGCTTTGAGCGCCGAGGATAGAAAATCCTGGGCTGGAGGTGGGGCTTGGAAGAGAGAATATTGGCTGGAGACTGGGGAGGGGATGTTATAACAAAGTTTCACTGTGTTTTTAAATATAGAAGCCCTGTGTTTATTACGAAGAAGGGGCAGCTGTGTCAGCAGCATGTGAGCTGTAAATAAAACAAAAGCGTTATCTTGAATGCAAGCTGAAGTTAGAAAATGGGGTGAGCTATGATGTTTAGTCTGTTGGACCTCTGGGAACAAACGAAGGAAAAAGTGTCTCTCGTAGACGGCTCTCTGGTCAATGCCATTGCTAAGAGCAGAACTTTTGGCTTGGTAGTGTGTGCGTTCCCAAAGCGTTGTCTAGTTTTCACTGTACAGTGAGTTGTGAAGTAATCTGTTAATATCTTCATGATTAAGGATTAATTCTTACGTTGTAAATCTCCACAACTAAAAAGATTTTAATTGATCTTCATTCATTTAAATATTTGAACATTTACTCTACACCACACACCGTCAGATGTTTTGGAAAGGTACTGATGTTCAGGTTCATCGTGTTGGGAGGTACTGGATAGAATACTGAATGGAATCTTGTTTGGGCCTCTGTGATTACCTGTATGACTTGTATAGATGTTTCACCTTCTCTGTGCCTTGGGTGTAGAGCCATGAATTCTTGATGGTACATATCACTTACAAACTTTAGATAAAGTTGCCAGAATTGTTGCAGTCCTTAAATAGGTAATGAGAGTGGGCAAGCTTCATTTAAATAGTGGGATTGTGTGATTATTAAGAAGCCATTTATTATACTAAAGAATTAAGTCCGAAATAGGAAGGAAGGAAAGACTGCTTTGCTTTGTCTCCAAACAGGGCTTAACTCTGGCCCTTGCATTTGAATTGACTTGGTATCTATTGTATTGTCCCAAGTGGTGCTAAAATGGGTGTGGTTTTCAGCTGAGCACCCTGTAATTGCAAATAGCTTTACTCTTTGTACTTGAGGGTATGTCGAGGGGAGTAGTTTGGTGACAATGTCTGTGTCCAAGATGCATCTGAGTTGTGGAAGTGCTGCAGGAGCACAGAGGCCAGAAGTCATTTCCACTCCGCGAAGAGGGCTGGAGCAGAGAACATGGAAGAGAGAGTGTTTGCCCTGGACCTTGAAGAACTGGTTGGATTTCTCCTGGTGGGGAATGTGAGTCAGAACACTGAGATGGGGGAACACAGATGAGGCTGACAAGTTGTCTGGTTGTGCCGGAGCACACAGTGCCTGGAGGGAGAGCCATGGGAGACCAGGCTGGGACTAGGTAACAGGTTTTATCAAGGGAGTGACATTTATGTCACCAGAGTTTTAAAAATATTTTTTGTCTCTTTGAGAAAACTGAATGTATCAGTAATATGTAAAAAATACCTGTTTTAAAAGATTCAAACAATATAGAAACGTCAATATTTTGTGCCCATAGGTTTTATGTTTAGCAATCAAATATTTTTTAATTAGTAGAATGGAGGAAAGCAGTTAATTAGAATTCAATTTAAAGAGTGAAATCTAGGTTTAAATTATGAGAATGACCTGCAACTATGTTCTTATTGGCTTGCTTTATTGAAAATGACCTTAATATTCCAAGACAGAGCTGCTAGTTACTGTCATTAAGACATACACCTTGAACTGGTTAAGACTAGATGATCAATTTGTAAGGATTCACCTATATGCATGTTGTAGTTGATATGCATGACTACCAAAACCATCGGTTCTCATGTTTTGGGTGTTCTGTCTTGGACCACAAAATAAAGTGATACTAATTAAATGGTGTGGATTTACTGAGATAGTCTCGGTAGTATTTGCTACGATTAGTTGCAATCAGAAGATATGTGAAAGTTCAGTAAGTGTCCGCATAGATGGACACCTGTATTTAAAGAAATATAAGGGATTAAAAAAACGATGGCATTTTAAAATCCAAAGACCTTACTTACCATGATCTCTGAGGCCCAACATTACTTTTCCTTCCCTGCCCACCTCATCTCCTGCCTTCTCTGCCTCTTCACTAGACTTCAGCGACACTGGCTTTTTCTCTCTTGAACTTGCTGAACTTGTTCTTTTCTCAGTTTTATTTCTTGCTGTTTCCACTGCCTGGAATATTCCCCTCCAGCTCTTCACATCTCAGGTCAGCGTTACCTTCTCAGTGAGATCTTTTCTGACCTCTCTAGCTAGTGACCCGCTTTTGTTCTGGGTGCTTTCTGGTTAGTTTACCCTGTTTTATTGTCTCCTTTTTATTATCTAAAATTAACATGTTTATTTTTCCAGTTTATTTCTTGTATTATATATAAGTTCCATGAGGTAAGGATATTATATAGTGAGATCATTTTTATTCTGTAAGATTCAAACAGAGAAGTTGGAACCCTCACACATTGCTGGTGAAAATGTAAAATGGAGCAGTTTCTTTGGAAAACAGTTTGGCAGGTCCCTCAAAATGTTAAACATTGAGTTAACCATATGATTCAGCAGTCCCACTCCTAGATATATAGCCAAGAGAAAGTAAAACATATCCATACAAAAACTTGTACACAGATGTTTATAGCAACATTATGCATAAGCAGAAAGTGGAAACAACCCAAATGTCCATCACCTGATGAGTGAATAAGTAAAATGTGGTGTATCCATACAATCAAATATTATTTGGCAATAAAAAGGAATGAAGTGCTGATACATGCCACATATTGGATCAATGTCAAGAACATTATGCTAAGTTAAAGAAGCCAGACTCAAAAGACCACATCTTGTATGATTTCATTTATGTAAAATGTCCAGAATAGGCAGATCTATAGAGAAAGAGGATAGGTTATGTGCCTGGGAGTGGGGGGCTGTAATCGGGAGTGGGAAATGACTGCTAATGTCAGCAGCATTTGAGATGGGTTTTGAAGTCAGGTTAGGCTTTGTTGGTGCAGACGATAATGGTGGGAGGCTGGGTGTTGAGAAGGAAGCATGCAGGGGCAGAGGCACAGTAACAGTTGCTAGCACATTTGGGCTGAACCTGAGGGTTAAGTATAGGAATGGGAAATAAGGCTGCAAAAGTAGATTAGGGTCTGTAGCAGACAGTGTCAGTGCTGGCAGGTCTCTGGTGTCTTTATTATTCCCCACCTCCTAGTGTGCTTCCAGTGGCCCACACTTGGGAAGAACTTTATCCCTTACCTGCAGAGAGCTGGAAGTACCTGTGGTCTTATCTCTTCCCCCCTAACAAGCTCTCAGCCCAAGACTGGCCAGTCAGGAGTGTAACTTCGGAGCAGGGACTTTAACTTCTTCCCCTCTGTATCATGAGCAGTTACAGCAGTGCTTGGCACTCGGTGAATGTTCGGAAAATATTTGAATGAATGAATGAAAACCAGGAAGTTGCAAGGTCTATTCAAAGTGTAGTTTATTTTACAAATCCCTTTGACTCTTGCAGAGCATTTAGATAGAGGGTTTTGGAAGGTTCTCATTGTGAAGGTCCTTGAATTTTGGGATAAGGAATTTACTTAGCCCAGAGAAGGGATTTCTGGTAATATGATAAGTGTTTTAATGAAATTAATTTGGTAGGACTTTGCAGGATGAACTGGGAAACGGAAGGATGGTGTCTGTGGCGTGTCCACTCCCGCCTTCCTCTTCCTGCTCCCATTCTCCCTGAGTTAGGCCTTGACTGAGGTCAGGGGTCTCTTGTATAATAATAATCTAACAGCTCTCTTGCCTCTGATCTTTCCTTAAGCAAGGTGATGACGGCAGAATAGAAAGGATCAGATAAAAGAGGTACATTGAAGGAAAAATTTAAGATACCAGGAAGTAAACACTCCTAGAAGAAATAGGGAAGTGACAAAGCATAGATTTTTTTTTTTTTGAGAGGACAGGCAATTTTTGTTCCTAGGGTTGGTCAGACAGTAAATTTTTATTGCCCACCTGTGTGTGTATGTGTGTGGCTTTTTGAACACTGAAATTGTTCATTGAAT